CCAGTTTGACCATGAATGACGTCTGGTGACCAGTCTGATTTTTTTTTTCACATTGGACTCCACCAGAAGAAATCCCATCATACTGCTGCTTAAATATGTTCACTACGTCAGAACTTATTCAGTAAATGTTTCATCTCTGCTTTTGTGCGTTAACTCTTACAGGATGGAGGAAACTGGTCTTGGTGGAGGTTTGCACTCTCCCAGTGCTTCTAGTTTTTATTAATTTTATTTGTTTTATTTTCTGAAACAAACTGTAGGGTACCCGCTTGTTTCACTCTGATGTTTTCACCTTAAACAAGCTTTATTTTTATTTGTTAATAAAGCTCTTTGTTATTTTATGAAGCTTTCAGCCATGTTTCCTATCAGATCTGAGGTGGTTCTGTGAAGTTTTAGTGTCAGGCAGGTAGATCACCTGTGAGTTTGACTTTGTTTCATCAGGAGCCAAGGAGAACCTGCGGGACTACAGCGGACGCTTTCCCAGCCATTACCTGAACCTCAAAGATGCAGAAGGTCCAGGAGAAGACTTTGAGCTGCGTGAGTTCATCATATTTTTACTGTATAAATGATTAATTTATCATTATAAATTTGTTTTTTTTATAGTTTTCTTGTGAAGTATATTATTACTGTTTATTTGACACATCTTAAAGTTTATTTAATTTTTAAACTGGGGTACTAGTTTGACTAAGGCTGCGCTTTTTTGCGCAGGAGACCTTGGCCTCTACATCCCCCACCCCTCTGCTGTGAGTCACAGTGTCTATTAATATGCTAAAGAGTCGGTCACACTTAGAGTCACACCTAACCCTAATCACAGCTCACCTACATGTCCCCCCTCAGCCCAAAACTGTGCCCCTACATAGCCCCCCTTTGTCCCTTTATCCTAAAGGGTTAGTTCAGATCTTTTGAAGTGGTGCGCTGTTGAAATTTTACTGATTACTTCTCWGTTGTACTAAATCATTTCTCAGCTGTAAATGTTTAAAAATAGCTGAATTGTTGTCCTTTGTAAAATTAGCATTAGTGATTAGCTTATTTGGGACTAGCAGGATATGATCATTCTTAACTGCTCTACAACAATCTTATTCTCAATAAGTCTTAAAATGGCTGAATTWTAGACTTTATAAAGTTAGCTGTGGCAGCCATYTTGAATTTTTGATTAGCCTTTAGATTTCGGTAAAGATTGTCTTTGGCTACTTCTACACGAATCCTCATATTTGTGTGTCTAAAAGTGTCTAAATAATTGGTTGTGACYAGCATTCAGCATGTTCTTTGATCAKTATCATCTCCGTTCAGCTGAATTTTTCCTAAAACAGCTGAATAAATGACTTTTGGATTAAGCTGTTGTGTCCATGTTGAATTTGTGAATCCACAGTGCTTTTCTTTGTATATGCACCTCCTAACAAACACCTGCAAAAAACAGGATTCTGATGTTATCAGTCCATGAAATGGACATTATTAGGCGTTATCAGTCCCATACAATGGCTTCAGGGGGTCCCTACTGTGCCTTCTAGGCTTCAGACTGTCCCGACAGTGCCCCCTAGTGGCAAAAACCTTTGATAATTCCAACCGCAATGTCTGCCAGCAGCTTCAGGGCTAGTGATGTTTCAAGTGGTAAGATTATGAGCTTTAATAAGTAAAATTATCCCAGCTACAATGACAGACAACAAATATTACATTTATAGTATAACAACTAAAACCATTTTTGACGCCACCACCGCAGTTTGTCCTTCATGAGCCTTCGTAGACAAGATGGCGGTGCAAGATGGCGGCTGCCTGTGTGGCGACCCTCGACCGTGGAGATATAAACAGCTTTTTATAAGGTAAAAATAATAAAACAAGGTATTTGTCTGGAATGATTAGACATGTTTTTATTATTGTCTTTAGTGATTATCTCAATTTCGGCTAAAAGACTTGTCAAAATCCTACAAACTGTGCCTTTAATATATCAATGACAATGAATGTGTAAATAAGTAAAAGATATTGGAATAAATTTTTTGTGTCCATGTCAGTCTCGAACCCTGGTTCCTGCTCTCTGGTCCAATGCTCTACCCATTGCCCTATTGGTAGGCCACAATACACAATTGTTGGAGGGCTATGTCTTTAGTGCTAACCATGTCATTTGCTCTAAAGTTAACTTTAGTGGCTTTAAGCCTCATATTACCTAGATTTTTTATGTCTCATGTTAACCAGGTAGTGGCTTGAAGCCTCATATTAACCAGATAGTGGTTTTATACCTCATATTAACCAGCTGACAATCAGAAGCCATTCTATGGGACGGGGAACCTGCTAACTTGCACAGACGGGACATTCTGAAGCCATTCTAGGGGACTGATAATGCCTAATAACGTCCATTTCATGGATGATAACATCCAAAGCGGGTGCAAAAAAAGCCCAGCTCCGCCCCCGGTTTTCATGTTGAAATCCAAGATGGCCGCCACAATATAGGGTGAGGGTGCAGAACCTGAACAGTAAACATCAGTCGTAAGTTTTTAGTTATTTTTACTCAGCTCAGCAGTCTTTAAATTCTTTCACGTCACTGTTTCAGCAGAAACAGTTCATTAAGTTGTTACTTTAAATGTGAAATTCAGATAAAATTAATTAAATCGGCAGCAGCTACATCACACAGAAACTTTTCCTTCACTTGTGATTCTCTTGGTTCTTGTGGTTGCAGAGTTCCAGGTGACTCAGGCCAGAGAGCGGAACAAGAACAGGAAGTTGGCGTCGTTGTTCCAGTCCAAGAAGAAGTGGGGGTCAGCAGAAGAGCTGGCCCCAATAGAGGAGAGGGCGGAGCCTCACCAGCTCGCTCTGCCTCCTTTCAGACCACGAAAATTCTCCCGTTAAGACTTTCACACTCGTTTGTTCTTGTGTACACACAGAATTACACACACACACAYGGACCACACTATGTGTGACACACACATTTAGACACTTAAACGCCTCAAACTAGTCACCAGAACTCTGAATTATAAAGAAAAAAGTATAATTTCACATTTAAAGCTTTTAAGTTTGTATCATCAGTGTTCATGTTGACCACAAGTGTATTTAAAACCTAAATGTTTCAGTAATTGTTGCCAAAAGTTACTTAATAGTTTTAATCTCCACAAATGCTCACCCTGGATTTACACTACATGTGGCTCTGCTCCGCTCCGCTCCGGTGTGACACACAGAGGAGGGAGGGTGTGCAAGAAGGAGATCTTGCGATAAATCCAAATAAATGTAGAAGTCAGAGCAAAAAATAATTAATTCTAGAAAACATTGATATAAAGGTTTTTTATATCTATGGTTAAACTGTATCGTTGTCATCTTTTTGAAACTTCGGATTTCAATATAAAATCCATATGTATCGTGTGAGTACACATATGCTTCATCTACATGTTGCCATCTGCTTCCCAAACAGAACCATACATTCTGACAGCATTTGTGTAGAAATATATCCATATATTGATTAATATAGTTGCAATTTTGACAGAATTATTCCACCTTATGGTGTCTTATTTAGAAAATATTATGCTTGTTCCTCTTCCTGCAGGTGCGATGTAATCTTTAAAAATTTACTTCGGCACAGCTCCAGCATCAGGCAGAAATTAGCCTGGCCCTTGCCTTCCTACGCAGTTCCGCTCAATTCTAGTTTCCTTCACTGCTCTGTCGGGGACTTCTCCCATAGATAACGATTTATTCGGGAGCATTTCATTCGGGCCAATCAGAGAACAGAACGTTGATTTTCTGCACAGTGTCTGCTTGTACTTTATTTTACCTGGGCCAATCAGCAAACAGAAGGCGAAGTTTTGAATGACGTGATTTTCTGCACAGTGTCTGCTATTTAGTTTATCAGTAGCTGTGTTTCCATTGACCATGAAAATGCGCAAATTAGAATTTCAAAAATAAATTTGCTCAATGGAAACA